GTGGGGGGGGGAGTGCTTTGCGCCCCCGTGCTTCGTCGAAAGGTCTGTTGGAGCGGAAGGTGACTGCTCGAGTCGAGAGGACTGCCCAGCGGGGGGCAGTGTGAAGTCGAGCATGTCCCTCCACATGAGGAGTATTCAAGAGCAGTAGAAAAATCGTCCGGGCACGATTTTTAGTGCCCTTTTGATTGTTTTTGATTACTTTTGATTGTTAGGACTATTTTTCATTTATCTTCCAGAATCCGCCTGTAGGAGGACAGGCCCGACCTAAGGGTAGTGTCGAACGCCTCGGACCCAGTCCAAGGGTCTCCTCTCGTCGAGGACCTGCTTTCTCGGGGGCGCTGGGTGTCGTGCCGACACGCACTCCCGAGTTCCACTTCTCTCGGTCGAGCAGGTCGCCCTCTTGAGCGTGCAGGGACTGTGGAGCAATGCTCGGGGGTATAGGCTCAGAGGGTGATACATCGACCCCCGATCGCCCGTGCATCGCCGATATGGGGCCCGATATCCCACCCAGCCCAGGAGCGTCCAGACCCGCTGGTGCATCATTTGCTACAGTGCGCGCGCGTGACACACTGGTGTCGCCGACCCGTTGGTCACGTTAGCTTTATTGGGTCAGGTTAGCTTTGGCGCTGTGTCGACAGGGCCGGGGTCAGTTTGAGTTAGGGATTTGCCACGTCAGGGGGGGGCTTGTATCGGGGGCCTGCACCTCGCCGATTCCAGCCCGAGGTTCTGCCCCCCCCCTGCTCTGGTCGTCCCCTTGGCGTTTTCCCCCTTGAGGCCCTCCCCCGCATTCTTCTGGACCTTCCGCCCTAACCGTCCGCCCTTTTTTCTTTACGTGGGTTTCCTTGAATTTACGTAGGGCTTCCATGAGTTTCGATGAACTCTTCTGCACCTTCCGCGGAGGTCGGAAGGTACAGCGGAAACCTATGCCAAGAATCACCCTGCTTGCCTCCAGGGTGCCCTGGGTTTCTTTGGTTTCGACGGTTTCTCCTATGGACAGCGTGACGTTCCCACACCAACAATCAATGGACGTCCTGGGGTCTCAGGGTTGGATTTCTTGTGGAAGGTCTCTTGTGGTCGAGCTCCTACTGGATACGTAAGTTCGAGGTCGGTTCGGGGAAGGTACCCTCATGTTCTTCGTGCTTTTCTGGATTTGGTTGTACATCCTAGGGGATACACTTGGATGTTCTGTGTGTTTTGGCCAGTGGAGGGTCTCGGGTTCTTGAAGGGTGTTCTTCTTTCTGTCTTAGGTCCGGCCTTAGCACACGGCGTTCTCTAGGAAGGGCCTCACCTTCGAGGCTCGAAGGACTTGGCGCCTCTTTCTCGGCGGGAGGCGGCGGAGGGCCTGCGGAAGGCGGCGGAAGGCCAGCGGAAGCCGGTGGACGCAAAACATGCGCCCACAAGAGATGGCAAGGTGATCGTTTTCTGATTCACTGTTTTGCCGATCGGCGCGCCCCCCCCTCCATGGAGTAGATCTTGGCTGTTTTTCCCAACCCTCCTATGGTTGGGTACTCGTTTTGAATAGAGCAGTGTGGTCGCCCCGGCCTCCTCCTTCTCCCCCCTCCTCCCCTCCTCCTCTCCTGTTTCCTGTGTTCCCCTCTCTTATCTCGTGCCGTCGGGCTGCGATCTGCGCAACTGGTTCCACTTTCGTGGGTTCCTGGGAGGCCCAGCGGAGGTAGGGCCAACGCGGATCAACTCGGGACCTCGCGGCGCCCTGGGGGGCTGCGATCTGCGCAATTGTCGCCACTTTCGTGGGTTCCTGGGAGGCCCAGCGGAGGTGGGTCCCACGCGGATCACCTCGGGACCTCGTGCTGCGATCTGCGCAACTGTCGCCACTTCCGTGGGCTCCTGGGAGGCCCAAGCGGAGGTGGGTCCCACGCGGATCACCTCGGGACCTCGCGCCGCCCCTTGGGGGGCTTGCGATCTGCGCGACTGTTGCCATTTTCGTGGGCTCCTGGGAGGCCCAGCGGAGGTGGGTCCCACGCGGATCACCTCGGGGCTTGCGATCTGCGCGACTGTCGCCACTTCCGTGGGCTCCTGGGAGGCCCAGCGGAGGTGGGTCCCACGCGGATCACCTCGGGACCTCGCGGCGCCCTGGGGGGCTTGCGATCTGCGCGACTGTCGCCATTTTCATGGGCTCCTGGGAGGCCCAGCGGAGGTGGGTCCCACGCGGATCACCTCGGGACCTCGCCGCCCCCTGGGGGGCCCTGCAATCTGCGCAACTGTCGCCACTTTCGTGGGCTCCTGGGAGGCCCAGCGGAGGTGGGTCCCACGCGGATCACCTCGGGACCTCGCAGTGCCCTGGGTGGCTTGCGATCTGCGCGACTGTTGCCATTTTCGTGGGCTCCTGGGAGGCCCAGCGGAGGTGGGTCCCACGCGGATCACCTCGGGACCTCGCCGCCCCCTTGGGGTCTTGCGATCTGTGCAACTGTTGCCATTTTCGTGGGCTCCTGGGAGGCCCAGCGGAGGTGGGTGCCACGCGCATCACCTCGGGGCCTCGCCGCCCCCTGGGGGGCTTGCGATCTGTGCAACTGTTGCCATTTTCGTGGGCTCCTGGGAGGCCCAGCGGAGGTGGGGACCTCGCCGCTCCCTGGGGGGCTTGCGATCTGCGCGACTGTTGCCATTTTCGTGGGCTCCTGGGAGGCCCAGCGGAGGTACGTCCCACGTGGATCATTCGGAGGTACGTCATAATTACGCGTTTCTTTCAACGCCCCTGTGTTTCCATTTTGTATATTTGCCGTTCCCTATTCTTGCTGCGCTCTTCTGAAATCACTTCTGGGTGCCCTTCTTGCGCACTGCGGGTCCTTCAGAATGCCAGTCAGCATTGAGTGGTCCTGAGTATAATCGCCACATGTCTAGAAAGGGTTGGTGACGTCACAGGGTAGTTGGCGCCTGTTTCGAGCAGGCGGGGTCTCCCCCATGATTGGGGCGCACTGCTGCAACCAGTCGCGCCAAGCAGAGGTCCGCCCAATGTCGAAACGCCGAATGAGAAGACGTCGACAAGGTGTGTCGGCTCAGGGTTTCCGGGGCCCGCCACGTGCCCGTACCCGCGCATGCCCGATTTTGCTTCAGACAGGCCCACGTGTTCAGGCCCGCTCATATATTTGTATCCCCTCGGGGCTCGGGCCCCCTCACGCCCAGACCTGATCCCACCAATACCTGCTCGTGTGAAGCAAGTCAGGCTGGTGTGCGCTCACATCCAGACTGTGTCATACGCTGCCGCTCACTCGTAGTCTCTCGCTCGCACTCGGTCTTGCTCGTTCTCAGACGCTGTGTCAGGGAGCGCGCTGGTCCAGTTCAGTGTCGGCGTGTTCGTCCGCCACCGCGCTGTTTGGGGGGTGGGAGGTGGGAGGAGGGGAGCCCGAGTCCGAGCGCGAGCGCGAGCCCGAGCCCGAGGCTGAGTCCGAGCCCGAGCGCGAGCGCGAGTCCGATCCTGAGCCCGAGCGCGGGCCGGAGGCCAAGGCCGAACCCGAGCCCGACCGCGATCCAGAGGCCCAGCCCCGACCCCGAGCTCGACCCCGACCCCGATCCCGCGGCGGAGGCTTTGTCGTGGGAGGGGCCGTGTGACACTCCCATTCGCGATTCTCTTGGCCTTCTCTTCTGTGTGCTGCTGCTGCTCCTCCTCCTCCTCCTCCTCCTCCTCGACCTCCTCCTCCCCTCCTCCTCGACCCCTTCCTCCTCTGCCTCCTCCTCCTCCTCCGCCTCTTCCTCCTGCTCTTTCTCCTCCTTCTCCGCCTCCTCCTCCTCCTCCTCCTCCTCCGCCTCCTCCTCCCCTTCTCCTCCTCCTCCTCCTCCTCCTCCTCCTCCCTCTCCTCCCCCTCCTCCCTCTCCTCTTCCTCCTCCTCCTCCTCTCCTTCTTCTTCTTCTCCTCTCTTCCTCCTCTTCCTCCTCCCCTCCTCCTCCTCCTCCTCCTCCTCCTCCTCCTCCTCCTCCTAGTCGCTGTTTGAGGTGCCCAAGAGTCGACCGACCGCACCTCAGGTACAATCGTACACCAGCGATTCTGCGCCCACACCCGCAGGTCTCGGGGGCAGGGGAGACTGGGGGGCCCGCGTGGCGTGCCCGTGCGCCTAGGCATGAGAATCTGCTACTACAACCCACAAGAGGCAGCGAGCATAGAACGACTGGAGGACATCAGCGTGGAATTGCACAGCTGGGACGTCGTCCTCCTCAGCGGAACATGCAGATGGGCGGGAGCAGAAGCAGTACAGATACACTACCTCCCTAACCACTACGTGTTACAATTTGGTGCTCGCAAGGGGAAGTGGATTAGCAAAAGCTGTGGCTTAACGATCCTCATCAGCCAGAGAATCGACGAACGCAGTTTACGAGAAATCTACACCCCACCAACCAGCCTCCAGGGACGGGTTGCAGGAATTCGCCTCTCGACGGGCCAACACGACTATGCTTTTTTTGTTTATTACTACGCCCCAACACATCTAGCGTACTACGTGCCATTAGCAGAAGCGATTACCAAATGGTTGGAGCAGTGTGTCGATAGAGCAGGCAGCCGTGCGACGATTGTGATGGGTGGGGATGTGAACAGTGACTTTGGTTGCCAGAGAGAAGCAGACGGGACTATTGTGCGGAGCAGAGGACCGACGGTAGGAGACAGGGAACCCAAAATAGAGAATGCCAACGGCACGAGTTTGAGGACCCTGTGCCAGACCAGCGACCTTAGCATAGCTACCACCTACCACATCGCCGAACCTACATTCTACGGACATTCAGGATACAACAGTCGTATTGACCACATAGTTGTACCGACAGGGGCCCTGGGACTAGTAAAAAGGTGTGAGGTCCTTCATCGGTCAGGCAAAAGACTCCAAAAGGTCAAAGTACGAGGGCACAGGGACCACCTCCCCATCGGCCTCACCCTCCTCGTCACCACCTCCAACACCGCCTTCCCCTCGCGCGCCCGCCTACAACAGGGACTGTGCAGGGACGGACTCATGGAGTGTCTGCGCAGCGGCCACACGAGGGAGATGCTGCTCACCGAACTCGAC